TGTCTAGGAAAAGCAGAATTTGACCAATCACTATAGTTATAAAAATTAAAGGTCCTTTAAAATGAATATCTGTTGAAGAAAATAACTATCTATATATTGATTACAAGTGTGAATGTACAATTAAATAATAAAGGCCTAATAACTTGATTTGCTGACGAAAAAAAATTGGCACTCAAAACCTTTTACCAAATTAGTCATATTAATCGATTTGATATCACTTGCGTTTTATGTAATGTCATAATGATAATGAATAATTAATAATTATATCTCATTATTTTTAGATATCACAAATGTACTGTGTTTACATTTTATATCTGATATGTAATGTAACAATTTATTTTCTTTCAATTCCTGTAAAATTATAATATATAAGCGCCCGACTTCGTAGGGTGCCATGGTGATCCTAAATTTTTCCAGTATTCAATGGATATTATTATACATATATACTATACATATACTTCCTCTTCAATCACTCTATTAAAACAAAGCCGCAAAAAATCCGTCGTAGTTTGCTACGTTTATCTACATACATACAGTTTAAAACGACTTTTGTTTTATACTGTATGTATGTAGTGATTTTGGATAATATATTTCGTAATATTAAGCAGACAATACCAGGACAGGCTTATCTGCGATTTTTTAAGAAGTGTATTATTAAAATCAAATAAATTATGTCGAGTACAGCTCTTTTAATTGTTACATCATGAACAAATTGTTATTTTATCAATTAGTATTAAGTATTTGTCTTTGATAATAAACAGAAGCACTAATTAATCCCTTTCCAACACAATAGTGTAATAAGTAAATAGTTTAGCCTAAAACTGGGTTTCCTTCTCAAGTAACGGACATGGGAATATTATTTCATTATTTACTCCATCAAACCCCGAGCGAACGCCGCCGGCCTTTGCAACCCTACGGATTTTTCTATTGTATTTCGAATTACCATTATTGAAAGGTTAAACTATGATTTATTTATTTCACTTTTCTATACATTCAATATTCTTTTTGAAGGTAGTAAATAATCCAACGACTTATCCCTCAAGAAGGGACGAGAACAGAGGAAGTATCAGACTCTTAGGTTTTGTGTCTTGACAAAAAATTACGCCGTTTGTATTTTGCTGAGTTGTAATGCACTCTCCATTGTGTATTCAGATATTCTATCTTTCGTTATAAAAGTTATTTTTAAACATTGCACCACAATACAATCATACATACAACTTCACATACAGATCACACCCAGATTCGGTACAACAATTTGTAAATGACACAAAGAGTTGTTCCGTGCGAATATTGAAGGTGCGACACATTGCGCGGCAGCCAGCAACAGCGCCAACCGTGTCGTCATTTTCATAAAATAAAATAGAATTCTTATTTTAAAAGCGACTTAGGTTCAGAGTTGAGCTATCATAAATCAGTTTCGATATTAAAACTGTAAAAATGAGTTGTACACAACTAAAAAAATATTTCAATAAATTACATTGAAATTCAACAAGATATACCAACAAAATGGCGTAGCCGACACGTTTAGTTCGGTTCATTCACTCGATCAGTCGTGATATAATCAACACAGTGCGTGCCGATTGTGTAATTTTTTGGCGCTGACTGACATACGATGTTCCCTGTTGATATATTTAAAATAGATTCCTAATTACCTATTTACAAGACGTTGCTCCATGCCGTGGTATCGCTCTCTGTGTAGCATTAACTTTATATCAATTTAGATTATGTGAGCGATAAAATATGCCGCTTTTCATGTATGTACTAGGAGGTAAAATTTTAATACTAACAGTAGTAAGGAATTAGGGTACTAATTGGATTTTTTGAAGACGTAGTCTTTGTATTTGAATTGATACTTTTTGGGGCAAAGGACTAAAGAATGTAAAATAGTTCGATCTCATAAAACCCGGCGGCCAGCTACAGCACCTTTAAAACCTCTTAAGAACCTGCTCCGGATTCCTCATGGTGCACCGTCTGTTTCAGTAAATATGGCTGCTCCCTAGACTAATATACCTAGGTAAGCGGATGAGAATTGACATAGTTTATTTGTAGGTTGTTTTGTTTTACATTCAATAACTGGATTCTATATCGAATAACAGTTATTCAAGTTAAACTTGTCTTAATGAAGGAGGAACTCGCTTTCTTTTTACGTAAAATTGATAACACGTTCTGCTTTTTTTATCAATCGACATTGAATGTTTTGTAGTACTTAGGTAGTTTATTTGCAACAAAAAGGTATAAGGAAAATATAATTTCTTTAAAAAAATAGCTCTGTAAATATGGCTGGTTCTTTTTATGTGTTCATCGGAATAGATTGTCTTTATGTGAGGTAGGTACTTAAAAACTGTACTGTCAACTGAAGTCTAGCCTTTGAAAACAGTTTTGTATTGTAGACTTCAGATTATGAACGCAGGTTTTTATTTTATGGGATAATAATTTCAAAACATAAATTAATTACAACATACATTTCCCACAGGTCTCAACTCTATTCACAGCTGAAAATCAAAGCTACAAGTTTGTTATAAAACGATTACCTCGATTAAAACAACGGATGATTGTCACAGAAAAACAACCAGGGTATCTATCTAATAAGACAAGAATATATAAACCAAATACATTTAAAATTGACAGTAATCATTTTGCAATGTGCCGGTGCATCGGAATTCGACACAGGTATTTACTGGACAAGAATTTACAAAGCGATAGTAATTAAGGAGATATACGGTATAACTAATCTTTACAGCGGTTGATAAATTATGATAAATTATACGTGTTTATTACCTTATGTTACAGTATATTACCGATTTTAATTTCTTCATCACAAGAAATCGACTTTTTATATTTAAGTATATTATTTTCCTTATCGAAAAGAGACTATGTTTTGATAAATCGCTACTAAGAAAACCTTTTAGATTTTTCTAGAACATGCTTATAATTATCTGAATACATTCTTTTATCCGCGGTTTATCTTTCGATGATAAAAATAAGACGTTAGAAACATTACTCTAGTCAATTAGCGTTATATAATTTAACGATTACGGTGAAGAAAAATGACGTGACGAAACCTGGACTTATAATTTCTAATCATAAGTTTGAATCCTTGAACCAGGGGATCATTCCTTCTCCATGTAATAAAAAACCTTTTGTTCAACAGTGGGTACTTGTTGACGCTGATGATGATGATTATAAACGAAGGAGGGATGAATATAGAATAGATATTAGGTAATAGGATAACGTAATCTTTATATAATTTTGAATAGTCATATTTAATAAATATTTTGAATTGTTTGTGCAACGGTTTTTTTACGTGTTTTAGGTATACGATATTGTGCGTGTGACATCATATTTTTAGCGTCAAATATTATAATTGTTCCGTTTTTAAAAAGCCAGAACAAAATATGGTAGATGTGATTTTTATTTTAAATATTTAATCGAATTGAATATGGAAAGAATTAAATTTTGAATAAGGAACGCTAGTTTCACATACATAAAAGTAACTACCTACCTATACTCTAAGGAGGTATGCTATGTAACAATTCATTTTACCCTAGTTATTCATATACATATATATAGGTGCTATCTATTGTCTTAAAAAATAAACGATGAAATCATGTCTGCAATAAAGAAATAGTATGCAAAACAGTCATGTGCCAATAGGGAATTAAACCTCGAGTTATAATAAATTAGAAATAAATGGAATTGCTATCGTGGACGAAATTTCTAGAATCGCTAATTACTTTTACTTTCCAGGAATTAATAGTTTTATATAAATTGGTAGGTATAAGGTAATGGTGATGGATTTGTGATAGACTGGAAATTTAGTCCTCCGGCTTATTATTCAGGCACCAATCCCCAAAATATTTTTATTGTTAATTCTTTTGTCGATTTTTACTTATGCATTAATAGAAACTAAGCTTTTTATTAGAATATCACCTTGTAAGAAATACTAAAATATTTTCTCAGTTTAATCATTCGCAATAAAAATCAAAACGAATTTTTATTTGCAAAAAAAGTTAAAATTGGAAAGAAGTTTTTCAAAATAATGTTAGTTCCTTATCAATTAATTAATCTAATCTTTACTTTAACTTTGTGATAACATTGTAGGCTGTTAACTGTTGTTGTGAAGGCGATTTTAAGGTTCAATCTTGCCTACACTTCAGATTCCAATCACGTATATTTGGCAATTACTTTAATTTCAATTTCAACGCGAAAATGTTTTAATTTAACCGCCAGTTATCCTCATTGATAATCAATATAAAGATAGAATTATTTTTATACATTTTGTAAAGCCCTTGTCAAAATTTTAATCTACTTATAAACAATGTTATTGGCCGCATAATTAATTTATTCGAATTTCAAAAAATATCTAATTAAGTAGGTTGATATCTAAATAGTTCGTAGGTACAACAGATTTGAAATCATTTAAGAATGAGTTCCTAATTTGAAAATAATTGATAAGTTAATACAAAGCGCAATCAATCTATTAAGTAATATGTATAAATCCATTTACATAATATTAAAAACGTTCTACGTTTAGTTTTTTTTACTACAGACCTTAATAAAAATAAGTAGGTAGGTTTTTCTTACTCTGCTTTTAAATATTTAAACCCTAACACATTTTACTAACATCGGTAGCTGGTGTATCTCTAATGAGTATATTTCTAAACGTTACTACAGAAAAAAAGAGTTTTTTTATTAAGTATATCGATTTCAGTCACACGCATCTTATGACACAAACCATCGCGCATTTTACATTTTACTTAGCTACTTTGTCAACACTGTTAAACTAAGTTAATATTTCGGTTCTACTCTGCCTATCTGCTAGATAAAATCCTACGATAATAATATAAACTAACGCGTCCTAGATAAATAACCATAGATACTGAATTCATTTAATTCAGTTTCATGAACTTTTCTCTTGATAACTTAACCGTCCTTAAAAATAACACCAATCAGAGTTGGGTAAATATAAAAAAAACCATGAAAAGACATTCATAACTTACTGTTTACTGTCTTGCTTGCCATTTTTCTTTACTTCAGTAGAAATATCGGCACAGGAGAGAAAACGAACGAACGTTTTTCGACACTGAACGAACGCACGCGACGGCTCGTAGACAACTGCTACGCTTGCTACGAAACTCACACGCAGCTAATAATACAATTATTATTATCGGATTATTACCCCGCACTGAAATTGCTCTTGTTGTATTGGTTTAGGCGCGTGCGACCACCGCGATGTACGAACTATGAGTGACAATGCTCCAGACAAAATTTACTAGCAGGGTGCTGATAAACTGGCGAATAAATAATGTCACTCTATGGAGATGGATCAGGCTTAGGTCACAGCCTGGAATATACGCGGCAGTAAAGCTGAGGGCACATTAACGCTGGCCACGAATCCTCTTAACAATATAAACACGCGGAGAGTAGGTATGAAAGTACCTACTACCTATGTTTGGTATGCATTCATTGTTTTTCTAGATAGGAACTAGATATGCAAAGTTATAAAAGTTGTTATCAATGCGTACGTAAAACGCCTATTAATTTAAATTTCGATTACATTGTTGCATTTTTTTTTTCTTTTACTTTTAGCTATTTAGTGATAAGTCCGCTTCGGTCATATATGTATGTACATATTTATTTCTACTATTGTACTAACGAAATACTGTATTTCATAACTTTTCTTTACTTAAAACAAAGGTTGGCAATAATTGACGTATATTTTGTTATTAATTAAAAAGATTTTAAACATGTTATATTTTAATTAATATCAGTTGATTAGCTGTAATGTGTCTAGTGGGAAAATAAAATAATTAAAACAATAATTCTGATAAAATTCTTATAAAAAATTTGTATAAATTTTATTTTCACTTAAAACTACTAAGCCAAATCAATAAACGGTTTTATGTAACGATGATGATATACTCACACACTTCAAAACAATTTTTCACATTGCAAAAATAATTTGTCACAATCACAATACATACAAAAGAAACTTACATTTCAGAGGTTTTCTTTTTTTAATAAGTATAAAATAACAAACCGTCCTCAATACTTTAAAATTAGAAAACAATCACACAGCACAGATTAAAAATAATTTCCACAATTCTTATTGCCTTGAATAAATCAAGATCGAATTTTGAATAATTAGTTTTAAAATGGCGACTGTTTGATTGAGCATAGAGGTTGTAATGTCACCTTTCCTGGAGAGAACAGTTTATCCAAATGACTGAAGTAATCCGAATGTAGCTAAATAAAGTTGCGTACTTATTATCTTAATTAGTGTGATCCTTTGGTTTACAAATGTACATAATACCTAATCTCTTTCTGAGTTATTTGACATGGCCGCCAACGAGCAAGATTACCTGATGAAAAACAATCGGTGCCACTTATAGATACCTGAAACACCAGAGGAATAACGAGTACGTTGTCGACCTCTTAAGGATTTGGGTTTCAACGATTTAGGGATTGGGTAAGGAAGGATTGTTACATGGTTGTTTCACGCCAGTTTTCTGTGAGGCTGTGGTACCTATCACTCCGGTCGAGCCGACTCAATCCTGCCGTCCCCCACACGACGAAGTCATGTTTCATATGGATATCTAATTAATACGAAATACTATAGTTTCTCGAGGTACTTTCCCTCTACGATTAAAGAAAACCATATCAAAAAGAATGTATGAAACAAAAACATTCGGTAATTTTTCATTGCCTTCAGTGATTTTGACTGAAATCGACGCCGACATGACGTTTCATATGAAATAATAATACACACCGGAAGAGTAAAAAACATATCTTAGTTATTATTAAATTACCGTGTCACGATTACGTATCGAGTTAATTATAGTTATCGTACAATTTTATCCAATCGTAACATATTATATTTCCTTCAATCAATATTTTTTTAATACACGAGCCAAGTACCTAATCTGTATCACACCTCAATTTGAAAAACCCGAGTATCTATTGCTACATATCAGATGCATTTAAGTAAGATATAATTACAATTACTCATGTCTTATTTTTTTATTATTTACTTGTAATATTTACAACTAATTGGTAGGAGAGTGAAACTTAGAGACTTTCCTACATTCCCGTAAATTTAGAGGGTTGGCTTCTGCAAGAATGTGTCGGCTCGACCGAAGTAATACTACGGCCTTACAGAGAACCAGCCTGAAACTACCACAGCATTGTGTTTTACTGTGGGAGTAAGGCTACCGGAGGCCTAATCCTTCTCCTACACCGATCCCACGTCAATTCCTCGATTCCTGAAACCCTAATCCCCAAAAAGCATGCAATGCACTAATAACTCCTCTAGTGTCACGGGTGTCCATGAGCGACGCTGATTGCTTACCACCAGATAATCCATCTACTCGTTTGCCTAAAAATAATTTAAAACTTATTGACATATTCCGAAGTATTACATTAAGCGGCATACCTTTTATAAACAGTAGACGTCTCAGTTGATAATAATCATTAATCACTTAGATAGATAAAATTTAAAAATGATAGCGCCGTCATTAAAAAAAGGAATCCCCTTTGACTCTGACGGAATTTTAAAAATTCCCTCTAAAATGCTGGCAACAAAAGTTATAACTTTTTTAGTATTATGGTTGTCTATGGGTGGCGCGACTATACATACTCTTTGCACAGATCGCTTACGATCCGTGTAACGATGAAGTCGCTCCTTAGTAAATATGTTTTGTGAGGTAAATACCATTCGTACGTTATCTAACAGATATCTGCCTACTTAATTAGTAAAAACAGATATATCGGAGCAAAACGGGTGATACATTTGGATTTTGTAGAATGATAAGATTACATGATTGACATTGTGAGTTTTTTATATACTTTTTGATATACAAATGATATTATGGAGCACAATAAGGTTAAAATAACTACTTTTAAATCAGGTAAAAGCACATACATAGATACCAACCAGTTACGAGGTTTATTGTTGTTGTATTTAATAAAATAACGTATTAAAAACAACATTTTACAATAAAATAAATTTCATTATCCTCGGCTCGTTTCTATCAACTGCGGTACATTGACCTTTTCAACAGTCTTCGCACCTAGCTAAATTATCACCTGAAAAATATAACCATATAATTATTTATTTGAAAAATATCTTTGCCGAAATACAATAATCATTAGACAAATTGAATTGATACGTCAATTCTGGTATGGAATGAGAATGAATCAAGCAACTCGTATCGTATTACGTACATTGACTTTGTATTCTATTTGACTGATTTGTACGCCATTTTGGCTAGCAGAGCATTACACTATGATGGTCAGTGGTAAAGGGTTCATAATTTTATCTTCTTCTCTATATTATAAAGAGGTAAAATTTGTTAGTTTGTAAGTTTGTATGTAGGGGATAATCTTTGGCACCGCTGGTCGGATTGCCAAAATTCTTTCACTGATAGATAGCTACAGTGTTCCTGAGTGCTATAGGCTATTAAACACCACGCTACGATCAAATGAAGCTGGTGAAACCGCGCGAAAGTATTTAGTGTATAGATATAAGCTTAACTCTATGCCGGCGTTCCAATTTTGAATTTGGATTACCGCGCATGTTGCCAGCCATTTTTTATGTAAGCTGGAGTGGTGTTGCAAAATTTTCCTCTTGAATTTTATCATAACTATACGTAGCTATTTGAGACATTAGATTTGTGAATGGAATCTCACAAACTATATTTTTAAGTTACAAAATTGCAACAAATACACGAATTTGAATTAACGAGACTAAAACAAATATTAAAGTTAATCAAGGACATTCCCAAACAACATTTTAAAGTTTTGGCAGTTTCTGGAAAACTTTATCCATTTTTGCTTCGGGGAAACAAAAAGTATGAGAGTTAAAGATGAAGACCTTTGTGTTCAGGCAAAAACGCGCGCTTTTTTATACATTTTGTTGATGCGGGCTTCCCATTCTATTTACGAATTCTCAGGTCGATCACCCTTTGCCCCTACTACGTAGTAAGATTTCGAATCATATCTATGGTGCTGCAAAAAATGGTCTTCGCTGTTCGCAACTTCATTAGTATCAGCATGCAACCGTGCGAAGCGAATGCGGGTCACTAGAACAAAATAAATAATAAATAGCATTCTGTTAAAAATCTCCAAATAAATTAGGCAACTAATCAAAATGAATACTATCGTCATCCAACTGTGAAATTAGGTCATTCGACTAATACTAAGAATGTAAAATAATCTGTTTGTTATTCATCAAGGTCGTACAGGTCCAAAAATAGCCTAAACAAGTCATTGTAACAGGTTATTGACAAAATAAAAAATTGATCGTTCATATCAATGCACATTTATTGTTTGTCTTCTTATAAATATTTACTTATAGGTTTTTATACTTAAACAGGCAAAATGGATGATTTTGCCTGTATAAGTTATTGCAGTTTTGTTTTGTTCAAATACAAGACAGAAATACTGGCCATTAGCAATTTTCAAATAAAAAAAGAAAAGAATACAGATTCCCGCGACCTTGACGATACCAGCCCCAAATTTTACAAACTTTTTTATTTTATTTTATTACGCAGATACGAACAAAAACTTGTTCCATTCTCACGTTTAATAATGTATTGTGACTCAGTGTATTTTGGTAGGGGTAATTCCAATCTAGAAAAGTGTTCCATGCATTTTTTTGTTATGTTTTTACGCTGCAAAAAACTTATACGAACGAAGGTGATATCGCAAAACAAAATAAAGGGCGGAAGCAGTAATTACAAGCATGTATCAACTATTAGTCATGTCATCAGGTACTATTCAGAATACTAATCGAGCTTATTTTACGTTGTAGTTTTCCTGACTTTATTGTGATGTATTCCAATTGCTGATCGGTGGCAATATTTAATTTTTTAAGAGTGCGGGTCGGTCTTCCTTTTTGTCAAGCTCAGACGCAATGTTGCTAACACTTTGGCAGTATTTATCCTCTATAAAAGACGTTGTCGACGGTACGTATTAACAAAATTATTAAAACTTAGTAGTTAAATTTCGTGATCACATTTTACAATCAGCAAAACCTACTCTACTGCAATTTTTTATACACGTTTAGTTTGCTTGATCGGAAATTTTAAGCTGTATTTTACACTAAATTCATAAAAAAAATCTAAATTATTTAACCTATAGTTCTTATTGGCGCACCTGATAAAAGGTTATTCTTAATAATACATTATGGTATAAGTGTGTCATGTTGGCCTCAGCGCCTCAACGCTGAGGCGCATTGAGGCCCGAGCCTTTAGG